AAAAGAAGATGATTCCTTGCTCCACTTATCAATGTCAGTATTCACTGCACATTTATGCTTATGCATATATGCATTGTCCAGATCTTTAAATTGTCGATGGGCTTTGAACTTTTTCCCCAAACATTAATGACCTAAGATGAGTGATAGAATGTTCTCTAAGTAAATGTACTATATAATTCGTATAAGAAGTTACAGAAGAGAAGAAAAATGAGAATTCAAAGCTATCACATCTATCTTCCATCTTAAAAGTATGGTCTTGATGAATAATTTCTGCTATAGTGATTCTTCTTAAGAAAGTAATTTTTTATGCAGATTTAGGGTTTATTATTCATGCAAATAATTTGTTCATAACATCTATATTTGGTCATAATTTATTTGCTTGAGTCTTAACATGAAAATTAGATTTCATAGGCTATGAGAATGAGAATGAGGTAATTGATTCTCTTTTGCATGTTTATGTTCTTAGTCCAGAGACCCGACTCCCAACAACTCTATTTGTCGTATTAGCTTTTGTTTATTGTACGTATAAACATATGAAAACTCATGTATCCAAGTATGACATGAAACAACTCTGGCTTTTACTTAATATTATCGCCAACAATATAACTTGTGGACACACAATTTATATAGTCTAATACAATATTTGTTCAAAGCAAGTTTCATTTTTCAATGAAATCCGACAAAACCAAAATTCAACATTATTATTTACATTACATAACCCATTACATGTGCAACGCACATGCATTCACTAGTATATAAAAAAAATGTTTTATTCACACCATATTATTTTATTATTTTCACTACATTTTAATTGTCGCTAAGATTTCAAATTTTTTTTCATTGTAATAATAATTTTCTTAAATTTTTTCAACGTACTCTTATCTTAAACCTTTTATTAATTAGTACATCATGTCTGATGGCAGTTTTGTGTAGAAAGTCCATTGGAATTGCATAAAACAACTCATTTGCACATCATATTTTACAAATAATAATAAATGCAAAAGAATGACAAAATATTTTTCTTCCATTTCAAAGTATACAAACAAAATATTTTGATAGGTACCAATAACGAAATACGTTAATTATTGGAAGGTCAAAAATAAGAATTTGAGAAAAAAATTAAGCATAGAAGTGTCACAATTGGCAAAGGTTGATGACATGAAATTCAGTTTAAACGTATAAATAAAAATTAAGGCGAGAATGTTATTATACATAGAAAAATAGATGAATGAGAAAATTCGATTGTCCATTTTGTCCTTATATTTTTTGTTTACGATCACCAATGCCAATATTAATGTTTTCGTTCAAATACAATAAGGGGTTTACTTATGCTGTACTTAGTGTACATAAAACTGAAATGTTATGTTAATCGGCAATTGTTTAGTGTCTTTTTATCATTTGGTATTAGTATAAGAATTAAAAAAGGAAAATCAAGAATTGGCATTAGAAATATAATACTTTAAGAACTCAAAAAAAAGAAGAAGGAAAAACTAAAAGTCTTGGGTTAAATGGAAATGATTAAATAGATGTTTATCATTTAATATTAGAGTGACTATATTGCTACCAAAAATTCGATTTATTACTCCACAACTTTATTTATCGTGATTATATACCCACAATATTTTTATAAAAACACAAAATTTAAATTGTATTAGGGGTCCTTGAACTTTATAATCTTTTTTCCATCATATTTTTATTCTTAATTTTCTATTAGTTAGCCCATTGAGTCTCTAATTACGATGTTTGCTGAAAAAATTATGTTACTGTAGTTTAGGATAAGGGACAAATATTTGATCGTAATTTTATATTTAAATTTTTTCTTATTTAAAAATAATGAGAATAAATAATTCTTTTTTACTGCATCTTAACAAAAATCCTTGAAAAAGAACTGTCACTTGGGATGAAATGTACTAATTAATATAAGATTGATAAGAGTAAGACAAAAATTGTTTAGGAACTTAAATGTAATAAGGAATAGAGGTTAAAAATATTTTATGCAATTAAAGTGTCGTGCACTTATTAAAACATGTAGTGTTAATATATTTAATTATAATGTCAATAGATTGGATCGTGGAAAGCATGCATGAGGCGTCCTAAGTAACCACCACCACCTTGGACACCGAAAACCCATCAGATGTGACTAACGGTTGGGTAACCTCTTATTGGTGAGTTATGTTGCCTCGAAGGCATTTATCGATGAGGCAATGGAAAACAACATTTTTGCCTTAGAAAAGTTAAGATGACGGAGGTGATGGAATACAACATTTTTGCTTATGTGACATTTTGTTTAGCTAAAACCATATATGTAGAGGCGTAACATATTTCGTTTCTCATTTGACATGGATATATATTAAAATTGCAGCAACAAGACAAGTCTTTTTCATTATAATGTTGGAGTTTGCCTTATAGAAATACTATAACAAAAAATGTGTGTGACAAGGGTATAACTCTTGACAAGCATGGAAGACAGCTTATGCAGCAAATTAACCATCATTTCTGTTTTATATCTTGGGTTGAATATATCTTGCGAAATCCTATGACAGAATGTCATATCTGTCAAAGTGTGTGTACGCATTTTTTGTACACATAGCAAGACTCTTAAAATTCTCCCAATAAGGTCCTTCTCAATTTAAGACTATCGTTGGAGTATAATCCTATTGATTTTGATCTTTTTTCAGTGACAGTTTATGAAAGATTGGAAAAATCGATATTTTTAAATTTTTTTAGAAATTGTAATTTGTGATGTATTTCTCAACCCACTAAATATTTTTTCCAATTCTTATAATTTCACTTACAAAAAAATTATTTTCAAGCCACATATTTGTTCAAAACTAACCTGCAAATAAAATATAATAATTAAAAAATGTATTTATGTGAAAAAAATGTATTACAACTATAATATTGACTTATAAGTAAAAAATTATTTCTATTTAAAAAAGGCTTATAAAGTAAACAATACTACTAATAAAATAAAAAGCTGTTGTAAAATTAAAAGTGATAGAACAAGAAGAGAAGAAAATTAAGTGTGTTTTTATTGAGAAGCAATGTCTCATATTTATAGGGTTCAAAAGAGAGTTATAATAAGATTAGAATAGAATCCTTTAGACTATTGAAGTAACATGTAAGACTAAAAAATCATCAATGATTATCTCATTGTTTTAGAACACTCTTCTTTTGATGATTATTTGTACAATAACTGTCATGATAAAAATCTTGTTCGATAAAAATTCAGTGGAAAAAATTAAACAGAGGGACAAAGAGTACGATCAATAGTTAAATTTTTGGATTATAAAGAAAATACTACCTTATTAAAATCTTGTCTAAAAAAATTAGTGGGACAAAATCTCCAAGGAAAAATAGTATAGCTGCTCCCCTTAATGTTAATCACTGAAAATTGTTGAATTTATGCATTTTAATCTGGTGTACCAATTTCTTGAATGTAAATGTGAACAATGCTTATGTGAATAAATAATTCATATTGTCAATGGAACGACTTTGTTGAATATTGATATCACCATTGTTCTAAACCTCATGTGTATACAAGAATTTTGGACAAATATTCTTCGTCATCTCCTTTGATATAAAGCTCATTTGAGTTGTGCAATACAAGTTGCATTAATTTCATACAAAATTATTGGGCTATCTTTTTTTGAAGTCAATTCACATTATGTTTGGATATGATGGGTCATGTTCGTCAACTATACACATTCTCGACTACTTCATGCGATACAATAATTTCAAAATAGTTTGAAGATATTGCGATCAAGATTTGCTTCATAAATCTACATGATATGGTTGTTCCTCAATGTGTAAGTACATATTATGTTTATGATTTAACTTTATGTGGACTAGAAAGATAACCTCCATCTACACATCTTACTAAAGATCTCGACTTTTGAGAATAAAATAATCATAAATCAATAGTACCTCTTAGGTAACAAATGTGTTACAATGTCTTTGAGTTGCTATAGAGCTATAACTTGTAGTGGCATTTATAGAAAAAGTCGATGGGTCGAGTACAATTTCCAATATAGGTTAATATTCCAATTGCACTAAGATATGATGCTTTACAATCAAGAACTTTTCATCCATCTTCAGTCGGCAAAATGGATATTTTTCACATCAAGTGATCGAACAACGTACTATAAATTATGCCAATGGATGTGCTTTTATTCATACAAAAATGTTTTAAGACTTTTTTCGTATATGAAGAATGATCAACAAATAATCATTCTGAGAAATGTTCAAATTGCAATCCAAGATGTGGAATGAAAGTAATTGGGCACTTTTCCATCGTATGACAAAATATATTGTGGATCTCCATAAAAAAAATCAATCTAGGGAAAGAAAAAATGAAGACAAATTCTGCAGATTGTGATAGTCTAATTAATGTGACTTATTTGAATATCTTTGAGTTTTCTGCTGGCCCAAATGAAAATATTGAACATTTTGATCGAAGGCAGTGTGATAGAAGGTATAGATTAGCTTAATTTCAATATTTTAGTAATTCCCTTTGTTTTAGAAGTTTAATTTGAGATATGTTTTTATTTTCTTTGAAATTTGAAACTTTAATATGCATTGTTTATTTCATAGTTGATATTGAATTATGTTTACTTATTTCGATTATAAATTCAATTTTTTAAAAATATATTTTTTATTTTATTTCTAGATTATTGTAAATTGTCAAGCTATCTGTTTAGTTGACTACACATTCTATTTTTCAAGAAAAAATATATTTTTTGACTTAACATTGGCTCAAAATAATGTTAATACGATATCATATGTATCGAACATTGTTGGAAACTACGGAAGAGCTTGTATAATCTTATCAAACTTTTTTCTCAAACTTTCATAGTGCAATGGGAATAGTTGATCCACTTAAAATTCCATAGAAGTAACAGATTTTATTGGTCGAAATTAAAATACACGATATTCATTGAGACGACATGCTAAAAAGGTGTAATAAGTGACCCCCAAAACATGTCCATCTATCACCATACCTACAAAGGACGTATAGAGAGCCATCGGTGAAACATCGCAAGCGATTCTTTAGGGTTGTACTCTGCTGCTGTATGACCTGCACCCTACAAAATAAAATAAACTTTCATTTCTAGTTTTTTCTTCAATCTTTGTGAGAAAGAGCATAGTCAAACTTTTCTTGCCTTTACTATAACAAATGTTAGAAAGAATTCATTCTTCTTGTACTTCTCGGTGTATCTACAAAATACAAAGTTTATTGGAATTTTCAGAATAATACCAAGCAATATACAATGTGTGTGTGTGTGTGTAAGATCAAGAAATGAAAATCAACCCTGCGACTTGGCCATCAACATTCCACGGTCTCCAATCTTCAAAAACAGTCATATTGAGACTGCGAATCCATTTTAAAGGACCCATATAAGGGGCAACCATGTCATGATCTCCGCTAGAAAGAAAAGAAGCATAGTTAGAAAAAATATATAAATTTACATAAATGTATAGTTACTTTTTAGAAAAAATATACAAATTTACATAAATGTACAGTTACTTTTTTTGTTTAATGATCTACCATGAAATGTAAACCAACAAATACATTTTAGTTGATTGATAAGACTAAACTTAGAACATATTAAGTCACAGTTTCAGTTTAAGAAAGAAACTAATATTACTTATATATTAAAACTTCGAATGCTTTCTTGCTGAAAATTTTATAATATTGAAGAACACTTTCTACATCCTCTTCATAGGATAAGCTGTGGTTGCATCTTGTCCAGTCTGTTATCGTTCCCTGGAGATCAAAATACAATATTACCCTAGTGATTTTAATAAAATATGCAACTTTTCTTTTTGTTGACAGCTAGCCAATTGTAAAGCTTGCTGAATCACTAATCTTTTGCCATTTAACATACCTTTCTAGTATGAAGAGCTTCTTGGACAGTCGGATCATTTGCCCAAACATAAGATGTTAGATAATTTTGAGGCTGTACAAAAGAAATTTGTTCGTGAAAAACTGAGAGTGCCAGGGTAAGATAAAAAAATTTACTGACAAAGTAAGTCGTAACTTACTTTTTAGAAAAACAACTTTTAAGCAAACATGTGTGTGTGTGTGTGTGTGTGAAATAGAAGATTAATTGTGTTACGCGACACCACAGTCGATCTTGTTTAGATGCTGGGAGAACGAGGAGGTCAATCGAATCATCTTCTTGAAATGTTTGAGCCCATCCAAACTCATCTGATTTTGGTGCTATGTATTTACATTTTGGTTCCAATATGTGGGGTGGATTTACTTGGTTTATACACTGCAATATTTGATCATATCACGAAACTTCTTTAGGGTTTATTACCATAATTAATGTTAAAGGATAAGAAAAGTAAAATATGATTCAAAATATTACCTCTTGGATAGATTGAAGGGCATAAAGACATTGCAAATTATTTGGATCAGGATTGTAATACTTTCCATCACAGCTAACTTTTGCTAACTGAAGTTGTACCAATTAATTACATGATAATATGCAAAATGCTTCATTTTATCATCAAAATAGTTTTAAAAAATGAATACCTCAAAATATTCGTCTGATATAAGTGCCATGCGGTGAGCATATGGAATTCGTTCATTATAATCAATGTTTGGATCTGTTAGTCCATTGCCGATGATGTATCCCTGTACCCATTTTGAAGGTACTCAACCATTAACACGAAATACGTTGAAAGAATTGGCAAATAAAAATAAGGAGAAATTCATATATTTGCGTGAGCTAATTAATACTTGGAAGGACATTCGTGGCTCAAGTCCTGCTTCATTTCCTGCATTACAATCAAGATTAACAACTTAATCAAACTTCGTTGGTGGACAAAAAAAAAAAATCAAATAAAATTTTGTAAGCTTCATTTTTTTTCCTTTTCAATATTTACTACCTCGTAATATTTCCATCACAATCATGGGAACAAGTTTGCCTCCATAAGATTCACCCGCAACATATAGACGATTTTTGATAAACATTGGGTGATTCAATAACCACTGCAATATTCGCATATATTGTTAGTTCACTAACCTTAGAAATATGTGGGTGAGTCAATGTAGACTGAAATGTGTAAGAACTACTAGTAAGTCCCGCATCAAACTTCATTTGTATTTCCTCAATTAATGATGTTGACCTACCTTCCTGAGAAATGTGTAATTATCTTTTGAAGATTTGGAGTCTGAGGAAGAATAACCTTGTGAAGTGTTTGCATACGAAAATCCGGTACCAACAGGCCAATCTATGAATATAATACTGGCGACCTGAAATTCATGTAACCATATTACAATGGTATTGAGCTACTAAAGACATACATACATGACTTCAAAATGCATGGAGTGAGAAATTTTTATGACCTTGGTCCATGAATATGGATTTCGTAGAATAGATGGTAAGCTTCCATCAAAATCTGCCACATCAAAAGCTAAAGGACCTGCACAAAAGAACACTAGTTGGGGTGAGTATAATAAAAGTTGAATTTATCAATTATAAATAAAAATATTTTTCTTTCTTCCTCTGCAAATATTGCTGATTATATATGCTAATTTCTAGCAGGGAAATTGTTTATTTGAAGAACAATGTGTAAAAAATTGGACAGCTTAATTGACTGAAATAGTAATTTCAGTCTCCAGGATATATAAACATCGAAACACTGAGTTAAAAATATGCTTCTTAAAAAAACATAATTGATGAAAGTGTGTAAGCATTGCAGGAATTCTCTTCTCTATATTTAGTTAAATCTGTGGAGATCATCAAGGTTAACATAAAATTTGAAATAATGTCACGTGACATTTTATCAATAGACTGTTTAAAACGGAGTTGGTGTCACATGCAATTATGTTTAGCTTACATAACCAGAAACTCTAAACCTTTTTTTTGCACTTCGCAGTTGCAGAAACACATAGTAAAAAAATCAAATTATGTTTCTGGCTTTAAGATTTCGACTGAAAAATTCTATTAGCACTAAAAAAAGATTGGTCTTTTCGTGGGCATACTATAGTTGAGAATCATTGCCACTTCATTTTTTCCCCAATGATGCAATATTGATAGAGATAAATACATGAGTTAATATTATATCAATAAAACTTTTCTCTCTGTGGCTTTAGATCCTAAAAATTCATTGAAATATTTAAGAAGGATGATATTGGCAAGCTCGTGGAAAAATTCTATTCTAAAGATTTTAAAGCACAAGAGATTCATTATTTAAAAATGCGGCACTATGAGATTTTATATCCTCGATTCCTAGTATGAGTACTTGCTGATGTATGTTTGTAATTGGTTGCCAGTAGATATTTGGTGGGTTATATTATAGTGACTATTGATGCATCATGTACTAATGCTAAGCATTTGTACATTAACAATTGAGTGAGCATTTTACCAACGAAACATGTGAAGATGGTAATTGGTAGCTAAATGAGCGATTAGCATTCACAGCACGTGAACATTTGGACTAGTTAATGAGTGAAAAATTTTGTGTTCCATTTCTTTAATTTTCTGCATAGTTTTATTTTTTATATTTCTGTTAAAGGACCGATTGAGGACCACCTAGTGGTATCACAGCCTTAAAACGTTTTTTGGTTTCTGGTTTTCTGGTTTCATTTTGTTGAAACCCTAATTGTTCTTCAAAAAGTTTTTCCAAAAATCGAACTTGGAATTTTCGAGGGAAAACAATTTTGTTTTCTAGAATTTTTTCATGATCTACCTTTGATTCAACCTTTGGTTGGATTTTTTTAATAATTTGGTGTATTTTTGGTTAGATCTGTGGAGATCTTGAACGGATATGGTGATTTTTTATGTTTGTATATTGGATATTTATAAAGTTTTTGGATAACTCGTTCCAAATCTTTATATGTTGTAAAACTTTGTGTTTTCACTATGCTTTTGGTGATTCGTTGGTGACATATTACTGAGTTGCGGTGAGTCATCCTGGTTGTTAACGATTCTTGTAACACACTCTTGGTTATAAGTGAGTTGAGTTGACAGACTCACTCCAATTCCTGGCTATTTCTTTGACTCGCTTCTAATTTGTACTGAGTCATAGTGTCTCACTGAGTTCTTGCACATTATCTGGAGTTCTGTCCTGATTCTGGCATTCTTTTATTCTCAGCCTGTATTGAAACCTAAGGTTTCAAGTTTGGTGTTCTCTAACCCTATTCTCTATACTTCCATTACTGTAAACTGTCCTTTTTGCGTGGTTATTAAGATAATTGGTC